AAGTGTCGTCCCATTGAGAGTAGGGGATGGGCAGAGCAGATCTAAGGACTTGAGCAATTTAACCTCCTGCCAGAGAAATAGTGAGAGCATTACTTCTGAGGTGGCAATGCTGTGGGTGCGGATTCTGCCTCCACCTGTTACTAACTTTGCAACATTGGGCACTTTTTCATCTCACTGGATTGATAAACGGGTGGTATAACACTGTCCATCCCAGGGTAATATGATGGAGAGTAAATTGAGATAATGAAGGTAGCATTATAAGTGCTCACTAACACAAGAAGTCTTCAAGACATCAGTGGGAAACGTGTGGAGACCAGGAGAAGCACCTGGCTCCTGCCATCGGATCAGCGCGGTGCGCCAGCCGCAGCGCGCCAGCCGCGGCGGCCATTGGAGGGTGAACCAACAGCAAAAGGAAGACCTTTCTCTCTGTCTCTCTCTCTCACTGTCCACTCTGCCTGTCAAGAAATAAAAATAAAATAAAATAAAATAAAACTATGCATGGCTTTCAGAATGTTTTGCATCATAATAAACATCTATTTTAATTCCATTTTCCACAAACTTTTTGAAGTGCCCTGGGATTAGCCAGGCTTCATAAGTGAGGCCACAGAAGGATTCTATGCACCCAGAGAGCAGGATTTGCCATAGTAGTCAAATATCTACCCCTAGACTTTCTGTGGATTGTACTTGGATAAGTCATACAGATGTCCTTTGTGAGTTCTGGTTTGTCATTGTCCTAATGTTTATGTTGTCCATTCTTTGAAATTTACATTAGTAAACTAATTATGCAAATTAAAGATCTGAAACAGACGTGCAAATTGATTCTGTGGTGAATCATCATCTTCTCTTTGCCCTGTGCTTAGGAGAGTAGAAACACCAGGACAGTCACATGTTTAATATAGGGACCACAGTAAATCACTTAGCAACCCACACACAAAATAAAAATCGTCTTCATCACCATCACCATCACCATCATCATCATCATTACCATCAGTGGGAGGGATAACTGATCAACCGAGTGTAGAATGAGTCTTCCGTCCCACAGTGTGCTTTCTTAGCATTTTAGCAACATTACCAGAGATAAAAATTGGAAAAAGAGAGCTAAACTTGAGGCATCAAATCGTAGAAGTGAGATCAGTAGGTCCAGACCATGGCAGTTTTAATTTTTATTTTCACTTCTGAGCAGTGCCAAATGCTAGTAGAAGCTGAAATGAGTGACGCCTAGGGAAAGAAAAAAATTCCCCCTTGAATGTCTTTAAAATCTATAATAATAATATAATAATATGAAGTGCATCTGGACATGGCCTTCTGCTGCAGTTCTGGTCTGGCTCTCGTCCAGAGCTGTCAGGCTACTCTGAGTGCCGGTGATTCATGTCCCAGCACCCTTTTATCTGAACGTTGCAGTGTCTTTTCTTTGTACTTTGGCAGTGATGTTACCTTGATGTTCGAAAATCTTTTAAAAGCAACACAGTCTTTCCTTGCATCTTGGCAACCCATTGTCTGCCAGTAATGAAGAAGAAGTATACTCGTGATCATTGTAAATATGGAGAAATAAATACTTCCCAGCAGTTTTATTTTTTTAAAAATTGGTTTTATGTTTTGGGATCCTCTAATAGAAAAGTGAATATTCTGAACATCTTTCCTTATTTCTCTAGTGTAGATCAGCGTGCAGGTTTTCAAAAGCCTGGGTCAAACAGAGTTTCTGTGATCATTTCGTATTTAAGGACAGAATTTAAGATTTGCATATGAGTTCCTTTCTTTGGGGACTTTTAAAGAAGGAAGCTTGGGAATTATTTTATATCTGTTATCTGCTCTCCAGTTCCTATTGTTTCAAATTAACATTACTCATTTGAACATGCTTTAATCTGTCCTGATAATAGTGAGAGTGCTTTATGTTTCTGGTGTATTTCCTGTCTTTCTTGATCTAGGGCTTGAAGCAGTTGTGTGAGCTCAGTAAAGCTGGTTCTCACTGTTCCATGTACACCCCAGGAAATGGGATCTCAGGATAATTTCTGAGTCTCCCACTCAACCAGCAGCAGCAGACGCAGTCCTTAAACTGAGGTCTGGTGTCACTGAAAATGAGTGGTTCTCCCCACTTTTTTGTTTAAGATTGATTTATTTATTTGAAAGGAAAACTTACAGAGAACACAGAATCTTCCATCCACTAGTTCACTCCCCAAATGGCCAGGACTGAGCCCGGAGCTTCATTCCACATGGTGCATCCCTCATGGATGCAGGAGTCCAAGTACTTGGGTCATTTTCTGTTGCATTTTAGGCACATTAGCAGGGAGCTGGATCAGAGGTGGAGTAGCCAGGATTTGAACTGGCACTGATAGGGGATGCTGGCATCGCATGCAGCAGCTTAACCCATTGTACCACAACCCAGTGTTTTTAAGAAGGGACTCTTGGGAGCTGGGGTTGTGGTGTAGTAGGTAGCAGGTTAAGCCACTACCTACAACACCAGCATCCCATGTGAATCCTGGTTCTTAGACCCCTGCCACCCATATAGGAGACCTGGATGGGGTTCCAGGATCCTGGCTTCCACCTGCCCCAGCCTCAGTCATTACAGCCATCTGGGGAGTGAACCAATGGATGGGAGACCTCTTTTCCTCTCTCTCTGTAACTCGGCCTTTCAAATAAATAAACATATCCTTAAAACAATGAAAAGAATAGAATCTTGGCTTTATGGCTGAGGACTGAGCTCCGGGAGAGAAGCTGGTGCATTTCCTATGGGGTGGACTTTGATCGCTGGCTGTCGGAGGTCTTTGCTGTGCTTGGGTGCCGCATGTTAAAGAGAACACCTTGGGAAACTGCAAGACCTGAAAAGAATGTAGAAACAAGAGGGCCGAGGAGCCTGGGAACTGTACAGAAATAACCACAGGCATTGGGAGCCTGGGGAAGGGCCGATGGAAAAGGACAGAGCTGACATCCGGGATGCTTTATGCACTACCCTGTGGAAGAGGAATCAGATGTGCTCTTTCTAATTCCAGGCAACAGAAGTAGGATCACGGGGTAGAAATTACACAGCAGCAGATTTATGCTCGATATAAGAGGAAACTTTCTACCATTTAGAGATGTCCAAAAATGGAATAGGTTAGCTCACCCTCCCTGGGAAGTGTGCATGCTGAGCCTGACCGGCTGGAAGATTATGTGGCTTTACGGGCGCTGTATTTCAGCAGTAACATGATTTTATGATGAACCTTCAGAGGGCTCAGAGGGGCATTTCCTTACTAGCTAAAAACAAAGGGGTTTTGTAGGCTTTTCCACTGCGATTTTAGGCTGAGAAAGTTGTATCTGTAATGATTCCTGCTTCCGTGTGCCCTGGGAAATACTGTTCTAACTGATATGTTAGTTACAACAGATCAGCAACATTTTAAAAAATTATTTTATTTATTTATTTGAGAGATAGAGTTACAGACAGAGGGAGACACACAGAGAGAGAGGTCTTCTGTCCACTGGTTCACTCCCCAAATGGCCACAACTGCAGGAGCTGGGCAGATCCAAAGCCAGGAGCTTCTTCTGGGTCTTCCACATGAGTGCAGGGCCCAAGCACTTGGGCCATCTTCTACTGCTTTCCCAGGCCATAGCAGAGAGCTGGATCAGAAAAGTAGCAGCCGGGACTTGAACTGGTGCTCCTATGGGATGCCAGCACCGCAGGCTGATACTTACCCACAGCGCGGGCCTGATAAAAATCATTTTTATAAGATGACACTTGAAGTAGACAGTGTGGCATTTCAGTGGTGTGTTTGCATGTTGCCTTTTAACTACTGCAGGGTGATTTGCCATGGTTTTTGATATTATCTTTGGAATTGTTACTTTCCCTATTCACCAGTCTTAGGGACGGCGACCTACACGGTTCAAAGAAATTGGGAGCAAAGTCATGCCATGTAGGTGGCTCCAGTTTTCTTACTATGGAGAGGGGCAGGACATTGAAAGAGGGGTGAGCTAGGCTGAGTCTGTGACACCAGCAGATCATGGAAAATGTTTGTCCGGGATCCACAGTTGCTCCCGGCTTCATGCTTAGGCTCTAGGGTTCTATTTTCCTTGAAACTGAAAATATCACCCTAGGAATTTTTTCCCTAACTTTCAGATTTTGTGCTTAGAATTCTTCTAATTCTTTGGCTTGAAGTCTCCATCATGTTCATGGGAAGTTAAAATTTAAAAAAAGAAGTTTATTTTTCCTTCATTTACTCGCTCTTTTATTTGAAAAAAAAAATGAAAACTTTGCTTCAGTGTATAAGAGGGTACCTCAAGAAGCATATGGAAAATAGAGTGAAAACATAAGTAAGTTAATTTTGGTGCAAGAACATTTTGAAATCCAGGCATAATTCTTTCACTGTGCATGTTTTCCAGGAATTTTTTGAAATGCCCTAATATAATTTTAGGAGTGAAAGGAAAAAAAAATGGAAAACGGGACCGCCATACAGTTTAACTGTGAAAGAGTGAAACTTAATGGAATACTTAAAATCAAGATGAAGTCCTTAGTTTGTAGGATTTTTTGTTAAAGATTTATTTATTTGAAAGGCAGAGTTACAGAGAGACAGAGAAAGAGAGAGGTCTTCTATCTGCTGCTTCACTCCCCAAATGGCTGCAACGGCTGGAGCTGCACCAGTTCCACGCCAGGAGCATAGAGCTTTTTAATGATCTCTCAGGCAGGTGCAAGCGCCCAAGCACTTGGGCTGTCTTCCACTGCTTTCCCAGGCTTGAGCAGGGAGCTGAATCGGAAGTGGAGCAGCCAGGACTGGACCCGGCACCCATGTGTGGTTCCAGTGTCACAGATGGTGGCTTTACCAGCTACGCCACAGCACCTCTGTAGGATATTTTGAAGCCAGTATAATAGAATTCCTCTGTGAAATGACTTGTTGCTTACATTTGGAACTGCACTTGTGGCGACACTGCTTGGCCTAAATCCGTTAGCCCCGTGGTTATGAAAGGGTTCCAGCACCAGCTCCTCATAGAAGCCTTGTAGGACTGATCTCATCTTCTCCTCCTTCTCTCACCAGATTCCAGAGGGGTGACTACCACATTGACGTCTGCATCAATGACTACCTGGATGTTTTCTGCCCGCACTATGAGGACTCTGTCCCAGAAGATAAGACTGAGCGCTATGTCCTCTACATGGTGAACTTTGATGGCTACAGTGCCTGCGACCACACTTCCAAAGGATTCAAGAGATGGGAATGTAACCGGCCTCACTCTCCAAATGGACCGCTCAAGTTCTCTGAAAAATTCCAGCTCTTCACCCCCTTTTCTCTAGGATTTGAATTCAGGCCAGGCCGAGAATATTTCTACATCTGTGAGTATATGGGGATTTATCATGTTGTAGGGCAGCTGCGAGAACCCAGCCTGATATTTTACCCGTGTTCTGAGGCTTACAGAGAGCTGGACTCTGCCTTGCAGATGTCTCCTTGCGAATGCATGCATCAGGCTCCCTAGATCCGTTAGCTGGGAACTGAGAGCACAAATTGGATTAAAGACACAGCGCCTCGCTCCCTATGAAATTGTGTGTCAGCCTGTTCAGTGAACCACTGCTGACTTGTATTTCTTTTAAATGAAAATTGCCAGGACTTCTCTAAAGCTCAGGAAAAGAAAAAGAAAAGGTTCCTGGAAAAAAAAATTAAAGGAAATAATTAAATTTACATAGCTTAGAGTCATTGAGTTTCTTAACTCAGGTGTCAGCAATAGCCATTCAGTCATCTACATTTTCAGTGGAGAAAGCCAGAACTCCTGCATATGTCAGCATGCTGACGATAAATGTTCTCTTCGCACCAAGGAGAAAAGACAATGATTAAGAGCAGCTGTGTCTTTAAACAGGCCCGAGTGTGAAGTAGTATCTAGAAAGGGCACTCAGAGAACTGGCGTGAGTTTCCCACTTGGGGAACAGTGAACAAGTGCCCTAAGCAAGCTGGGAAACTTCCCTGTGTTCGTCAGTGTCACTCTCTGCTTTCTCCTCTGTGTGTCCCATCACTGCTGCAGGCTTCTGACGATGACATCCGATAGTAAAGCCTTCTCACCCTTCATGGAGAAAATCCTGTTGTAATGGGGACTCCGGGGTCAGAGGCCAGGCCTGAGATCCTGTGTGTGCAGAGCTCCCAGGTCTGCACAGCCACTGTGCTGGAGCACACTTGGAGTAGGAAGGGTCTAGGGAACATCTCCTGCAGGCAGCTTGCTGGGTAACTGGACTTTAGTATCGAATATTGAAACTAGCTGGCCTTTCCCATGTATTTTCACTGTCAACTGAAGGAGGGAGAAGTTTATTGGTTCATAAGTACATTCAGTGGATAGCTCCAGTTGGTGCAGAAATGTCCGAGGCTGGAGAGAGCGGGTGCAAAGCGAAAAGACCTTCTCTGCCCTTAGCGGGGGCCAGATTCTGTAGACGGGGAACTGAAGTATAAGTAGACAGTGGTGGAGTGAAGGCAGGTGCGGGGAGCAGTGGAGTTTGGGGAAATCAAGCCGCACCTGCGTGGAGAAATCGGGCAGTGCAGCCGCACACGGTGCCGGTGCGCAGAGCTGCAAGCAGCCACACCCTGAACATCAACTTTTCACCCCAGCTCGCCAGAGAGACGCGATAAAGAGCATTCCTGTTTTTCTGACTCATTGCTTCAGTCCACGTGTCCCCACCCACCCACTTGAAACCCACACGCTTTAAATCTGTAAGGCTTTCCTACTTCTCTTCTCCAGAAAGCAGGATTTTAGAATACGTCCAGTTTCATCATCGCAAGGAGCTGTCACGTATATTGAATTTAAAAAGGAAATTGAACCGTACCAGTTTTTATTATTTCGGCACATATTTCAGTGGTTAGTCATGAGAAAACATGCAAAGGCCTTGATACTATCTCACGTCCAACACAGAAAAAATAAGAAAAGGAATACTGGAATATTGAGTCCCACAGTTGCAGGAAACGCTGGCATCCAGCGACGTTACAGGTTCTTAGGCAGGGTGCTCTTGACTTTGGCTGGTTTTTTTTTTTTTTTTTTGAATCCTTTGTGAAAAAATCTCATTAAGCAAATGAGAAGAAGACAAGAGGACGACTTCAGTGGTGGGACTGCTTCTCAATTTTCTAACTGCAGTCTCTCAGGCCAGCAGAGAGGAAGTTGTTGCCAGTTTTGAATTTTCCTTATTGGCTTCTCAGAATTTAAAAAAAAAAAACAAGGCAAAAAAATAAAAAAGGCAAAATGTATGAAGAAGTACCAAGATGGGAAACATACCCACTGGATAACCAGTTGATTGCATGATTATTAGAAATTACAGAATCCATGGAGGTTCATAAGCAAGATGTTATTATTCAGATATGCCCGTAGTTCTTATGACTGGTTTTTCCTCATTTGTGGTTAAATTCAATATTTCACTAAAAATCATTATGTGTCTTCTATAACATTCATTTAAAGGAGTCATTTAACTGTCAAGGGCTCCCGTCAAAGTAATTGTTCCAAAATGCTCAAAAATATCAAGAGCCTTTTGCTATTCAGATGCGTTTTACTTGAATTACTTTTTTTTTTTTTAATGAAAGGTAAAATAGCACAGAATTAGCAGCAAAGACATGTGCATGGCCAAGAAGCAGAGTGGCCTCGTGTTCGGTGAAACTGAATTTCCAGCCATGTTTTCCACTCACAAAAGCATCCTTTTTTTTTTTAGCAGTGAAAGGGCTTCCTCCGAGCAGGAAGACATACCACAGATGTCTTCCATTTAACTTACTGTGGTCAGAAGTAGGCGAAGGCCTTCCCTTGACGTTCCTGTCTTCCTGATAGGCGTGGCGTGCACACGATCATTGGGAAATGGCTCTTTTCACGCTTATTAAGTTCCTAGAAGCTCTGTGCCGGTCTCAGGAACAAGCCTGACCGCCCACTGGTCCATCGACAGTCTCATGATCTGTTCCTGCTGGGTCAGGAGCACATGGCAGTTTCTCATGGGCTTAACATCTCAGCTCACATTTCAAGAGAGAGAGAGAGGAAGAGAGGGAGAGCGAGCTGTGGCCTTCTCACTGTCCACTTCTAGGGTGTGATGGGCGGACTTAAGTTTAGTGTTGAGAGCGGCAGGCCAACGTTTAGATAAAACCATGGATGTGGGAGAGGAGAAGCTGAGTATTTCACAACAGGGTTATCTACGCTTACTCAGGGAAGACACGAACCAGAAGATTCTGCTGTATGCTCCACAAGATAAACTCTCTTCTGATTTTCTTTGAGTTACACAGGGTTTCTTCCAAAAAGTCTGGAAAGAATGGTTTGTTTTGGTGCAGAACATTTCAAAGTGCATGCATAGTTGTTTCATAATATGAATTTTTTTAAAAAAATCCTGGGTTTCAACAGTCCTATACAAGAGCAAACTGGTATTTCCCATGAACTTGCTGAAATGCCTCCTATATAATTAAGAAAATGCAGCGGTCGGAAGTATCTCATATGAAGTTGCCAATTTAAAAACAACCCATCCTTTCCAGTTCTAGGTCTCTCTCTTTTTTTTTTTTTTTTTTTTTTTTTGACAGGCAGAGTGGACAGTGAGAGAGACAGAGAGAAAGGTCTTCCTTTGCCATTGGTTTACCCTCCAATGGCCACCGAGGCCGGCGCGCTGATCCGAAGGCAGGAGCCAGGTACTTATCCTGGTCTCCCATGTGGGTGCAGGGCCCAAGGACTTGGGCCATCCTCCACTGCACTCCCTGGCCACAGCAGAGAGCTGGCCTGGAAGAGGGGCAACTGGGACAGAATCCGGCGCCCGGACCGGGACTAGAACCCGGTGTGCCGGTGCCGCAAGGCAGAGGATTAACCTAGTGAGCCGCTGTGCCGGCTCTAGGTCTCTTATTTGGCTTGAGAACAAGTCTGTCAATGCTGTGTTGGCCTTTGCTTGGGACAGGCAGTCTGTTAAGTTGTTTCCATCGCTGATTATTGATAAGGCAGAGCAGGGCCATTCCTGGATCTCACAAATGCTGTTTATAATCAACCGGAGTTATTTTGGTAAGAAATCAGCATACTAAAGTAATTACGGAAAGTTGGTGATATTTCTATCAGTGATAGATTTGCAGAACTGGCAGTCAATTGATGAAGGCAATAACTGTGTATTTAGACTCTCTAAAGGAAAAAATAATTTTAGAGTCTTCAAAAGGCTCATTTTAGAAACTTCAAAAATACTCATTTTTAGAAATGATTCTCATAAATATTAACCCCCCGAGAACATGTTTTAATGGAGTTTTGCTGTTATTTTTAAATCATGAGAAGAAAAAGGAAATCATCTAAATAAAGGCGCTACAAGTTATCTTTGTAAGGCCACAAGACACTGATGTAGAATTCACCCTTTTGTTTTTTTTTAAATAGGTTTTTGTTTGTTTACTTGTTTGTTTTTTTACTTATTTGACAGGTAGAATTAGACAGTGAGAGAGAGAGAAAGGTCTTCCTTCTGTTGGTTTACCCCCCAAATGGCTGCTACGGCCGCCGCTGCACTGATCTGAAGCCAGGAGCCAGGTGCTTCCTCCTGGTCTCCCACGCGGGTGCAGGGCCCAAGGACTTGGGCCATCCTCCACTGCCCTCCCAGGCCACAGCAGAGAGCTGGACTGGACGAGGAGCAACCGGGTCTAGAACCCTGCGCCCATATGGGATTCTGGCGCTGCAGGCGTAAGATTAGCCAAGTGAGCCATGGCGCCGGCCCGAATTTACCCATTTGTAGGGGAAGGAAAACCGAGCCTCAGAACCTTGTCTTGACTTAACTGGCTTTGTGATCTTGGGCAGATCATTGAATCTCCCAGGAGTTTAACTACACGCCTGTCAAATAACGTGGTCGCAGTGATCTCAGAATCCCCTGGCACTTTAACATCCTAATCTGAAAGTCTGCAGCATTAGCATAAGAGAGGACTCTTGGACAGTGACTCAACCCAATACCGTCCTTAGTCCTTATCAGTGAATGCCAGGGAACGGGAAACCTCTAGGGAAAGTGCAGAGTGGAGAAGTGGGTTAGAATTGCTGACCTGGTTCTCTTCCTGCTGCCCTGCCCAAGCCTCCGTCATCTGCAGTGTCTACCAGTGCAGCAGGTGCACAGCCCTACCAATGCCCTGCAGTGACTTCCCGCCTGACCAGAAGTCCACGGCCTCTCACCTGGCCTCAGGTCTTCCATGGCAGCACCCGGCTCTCCTGACCCTTGCCTGCCTCTCCTGCCACTTTCTGACTCACTCTCTCTTCTCCAGCCCACCCCCCCCCCCCCCCGCCCTTCCTGCTGTCACACCTGTCCAGTGCACTTGTCAGGACCTTAATACTTTCTCATGCTCTGCCTAGGGGTTCTCAGTATCCCCAGACACTCACATCCTGTGTTCCGTC